TTGCTATTTGTTTAAAAAAACACTACTTAAGCAAACATTTATTAATATTTTGAATAGAAAGTTGATGTGTCAAAATCTAGAACGAAGTAATAATTATCCTAGAAACGTGGAAGAAGCTATTGTTTTTAAAAGAGATCGAGATTAGGATAAAATTAGGCAAACAAATGGATAAGCAAAATATGTGTTGATAATAGATGACGAAAACTTTTAAAATAAAATTGGGACGTTAATTATCCTATTGTTCTAAAATCACGTCAAATTTTTTTCAAAATATTAATGATGTTTGCTTAAAATATATATTTGAATTGTTTAAAAAAGACACGAATAATATTGAAATTTCAAAATAATTTAGGTAGTATGGATATTTTTGTAATTTAGGCTGATCCAAATAACTAAAAAAAGGAAAATGAAATAATTTGAGACAGCAACATATTGCTCTGATTAAATGTGCAAATGGGTTGTTTCAAAACAAATCGATTGACATTAATTATCAAACCGACTTAATTTAATATTACAATTTTTTAAAAATTCGTTTAGTTGTATGCATGTCTCCTAGGTCTAATTCTAGCAATTCAATTTACTTAGTTTGAGACATCTATACAATTCAATTCATACATAGATGTAGAAAAAGGAATTATATAGGAGATGACTTTTAACCTTGTTGAATATGTGTATGACTATAATTAATGTTTTATCTAACCCTAGAGGCCTAGCTAATGTGTAGCATTTTAATTCTTGCAAATCCTTTAAAATTATTTAACAGGATTAAATTTGTTTGTTAAATTATAATCTCAAATGAATCTTAATATAATGGAAATAATAAACTTTTCCAAAGAATGTACTTTGTTTGTTAACTTAAATTTAATTTTGTCACATGAAACTAATACTTTTTTTTTTTGAAATCTGTGTGTCCATCTTAGGTAGGTAGCCACCATGGTTTGAACTCATTCCCTCTTAGTCTTTATTGACCACTTGAACCATCCCATGATGGTTCATATGAAACTAATACTTATAAAAATAGTAACTCAGAGGATAAGTATATATAACGAAAATTAGATTGCAATATATATATACACAAAACATTATAAGAAGCAATCTTCAGTTGCAAGTTATTCCAAATCTGTTGGGGATTATGATTATTAATTAAACTGTCCACCAACTCATGGACCGATTTAACAATAAAGCATAAAGATATATTACTAACTAATTAACTTATTTATCCAAGTAATTTGTCAGTTGAAATACAACTTTATACAATTTTTAAATTAGAAAAAAGTCATTTTCACAAATTTACTTGAATACAACTGTAAAGGAAGTGATAATTTTCATTTTCATTACCATCTCAAATTATCTTTTCTTTTACTTTTATCATTTTCTAAAATCATGAAATGTTTCCGTTGAATTTTTTTATTTATAAATATTATAAGCAAATATATATTTTTTAAAATCTCATCTTTTACTCAGCGATGCCCTGCCTATTATTTTATAATAAACAAAATAAAACTAAATTTTGAAAATTACTTATGGTGACGTTGATTTTCAGCTTCAGACACGTTTTGGGCTTGCTTCAACAATAACCTTTACTTTGTTGGTAAAAATACCTTACCCTTTGTCAAACTTGTTAGCCTACCAAACCAAACCATACCAAAACTTGCAACCCTACTTACTTCCCCCTTTTATTTTTCAACAACAACTAAATTATATTGAATTTTTTTAGAATATAGCATTATAAATATATATATCCAAAGATTTAATTCATAAGAGATTTAAAAATTTTTTTTCGTTGAGTAAGAATTCGAATCTCCTACTTAACATATGGTATGTTCAGATTGATAAATAATTATCTCGAAATCGCCGTGGGTGAGATGTGTTGTCATATTCTTTATCACATTGCCTTAAACAATATTTAATTAATTAATTTTGCTTCGTGTTCTTTCAAATACTGGTGTCCTCTTTCCATGCCCCCAACCTTTAACTTAAAACTTTTATTTCTCTCTCTCCCTATAAAAGCCTGCTCCATACGCTTCTCGAGAGAGACAGCAATGGCGAAGGAATTAGCAGCAGCTCTGATTTTCACATTATGGCTGCCGGCCATGCTGTTGTGGACTTCCGAATCTGCATCACCAAGTACAGTTCACCTCTCTTCTCCGGCGCCGGCGGCTCAGGTTTCCGGCCGGAGCCGCCATTATAACCGCCATTTGGCTAAATTACAGAAACTCAAGGCCTCGCTTCCGGTTCGTCGTGATTCACTCTCCATTGCACCGACGCCAACACCACCAAGTTTTCAGGTAATATATTTAATTTTTATCTTTATTTTTTTCTATTTCGAAATCATCGGAATCAGCTTAGAACGGTATTTGATAGTGCAGGCACCAGGTGGCGCTCGTGTGTATCACGTGACGGCGTACGGAGCGGATCCGACGGGCAGAGTTGACAGCACAGAATCGCTTCTCCGGGCATTATCGGATGCGTACGGATCTCCCGGTGAAGGGTGGCTGATGGACGGCATCAGGAACCTGGGAGGCGCTCATATCAATCTGGACGGTGGAAATTACTTAATCAGCCGTCCCTTGCGCTTACCGGGTGCCGGCGTAGGCAACATTGTGGTAAGTACTCCCGCACCTGATTACAAAAATTCTAATTTACCATAGAAAATAAAAAGAAAAAAGAACTGAAAAGTCTCTGATTAGGTGGACAGAGCAGTGCAACTAATGTTGGTAATTCCCAATGGAAACGGGAAGGAGGGTAGTTGGTGAAAGTTAATTAGAGGGTCATAAATGTCAATTCACCCCCTCCCCCTCCCTGCAAACTCAACACTTGTTTGGTCCGTAAATGACTTTTTTTTAGGTCTATAAATATTAAATATGAATTTTAAACATTAAATTGTTTCTCGAATATCTAATATTCCACTTTTTTAATGACTTTTATTTAGTTAAATATTTTTCAAGGGTAGCTTTCGGAAAATGGAAAGCATCGCTTTTCAATTCAAACAATATTCGGGTCTCGATTTCCTTTTGGAAACGCCTCTCTCTTTCTTTCAACTCAAATCTTGCTTTCTTGATGCCTCACAAAGTCATCCAACCATAAATTTGTATTTTTAATTATATATTTTTAAGATGCATTTTTTTAAATATTAATGATAAATTAATTATATATAAAATAACTCAAAATACACAGGTACTAAATTACATTATAGATGTATATATTTTTAGTTCAATAATATGTAGGGGTGGAGATTTGAACTATTGATCTATATTTTAACCGATTAAACTATGTTTATATTAACATGTATTTAATAATGTTATGAACTCGTACTTATTTATAAATTTTATATCATACTTATATACTTATATTATATAAATTTAATTATTCAAATTAAAAATTATATTTCATGTGCAATTGTTGGAAGAAAGATCTTCCGAATATTTGGATTTGATAAAATATTCAACTAAAACATGTAGTGTATCATTTATTATATTCCAAATATAAAACTTCATAAAATAACTAAAATATATTAAGAATTTTTAAAACAATATACAGGGGTGAGAATTTAAAGTCTCGACCTTTTAATCAGAGATAATGCCTTAACCAATTAAACTAGCTCAAATGGACATATTTAGAGTATTAATTTGATCCTTATAACCTTTTCATTTATGCATTTTATTTCTTCCCTATACTCATAGGCAAGGCACAATAAATATTGTCCTCAAACGTGTTGTTTTAGTTTATCTTCAAATATTGAATTTTAATACTTAAACTTTGTATAAAAAATTGTTTAATATTAATTAATTTATCAATCATTTAATAATAATTTAAATGTACTTTAGAGTATTTAAAATCCTTGGTGTGCTGTTTAAAAAAATATAACTAGTCTATTACACAGGGCTTTAAAATATTTACTTAAGTATTATTATTATTATTATTATTTTCTATAGTGGAGGTGTGATATTTGTTTGAACTCGATGTTTAGAAAAATAAGTAATGTCTTGTTCAAGCTAGGATCGAATGTCGGTTTTTAAATAAATATTTACCTAACATGGATATAAACAAATAAAAGACAAAGAAATAAACAAATAAAAGACAGAGAATATTTTATTGAAGTGTTTACGAAAAGTTAAAGAAACTATTTTACCCAATGTACTAGAAAAAAGAACTATTTACCCAAAAGTTTAACAAATTAGATCTATAAATTAATCACGTCTATTCTATTTTTAAACTTGTTATTATTTTTCTAACAGAAATTAAATTGTTTTTTTTTTAAACTAACAGAAATTAAATTGTTATTTAGAAAAGAAAAAAGAAAAACAGAATTACGTTATCTAGAATAAAATAAATGTGATTTTTGGATGTGATTTTTGGTAACTTGTTTATAAATTTTAGATACAAGGTGGAAGCTTACGCGCTTCAGACGATTTTCCTTCTGACGGTTACCTGATAGATTTGTCGCCGTCGTCTTCGTCGTCGCCGTCGTCACCGGTGGCGAAAATCAAGAAGCAGAAAGAGAGAAAGTCCATGGAAGTCGTGAAGCTCGCTTCTTCTTCATCCTACAATTACGAGTACATCACTTTCAGAGACCTTCTGTTGGACTCCAATTACAGAGGCGGCGGCATTTCGATCATCAATTCCTTAAGAACAAGCATAGACAATTGCTACATCACACATTTCACCACCACTGGAATTTCAGTTCAAAGCGGCCACGAAACCTTCATCCGCAGCTCCTTCCTCGGCCAGCACATCACCGCCGGCGCCGATCCCGGAGAGCGAAACTTCTCCGGCACCGGAATTAGCCTCATCGGCAACGATAACTCCGTCACCGACGTCGTCGTTTTCTCCGCCGCCACCGCAATCCTCGTATCCGGCCAAGCCAACATCCTCACAGGCGTACACTGCTACAACAAGGCCACCGGATTCGGAGGCACCGGAATTTACTTGAAGTTACCGGGGCTTACGCAGACGAGAATCGTGAACTCGTACATGGATTACACCGGAATCGTGGCGGAAGATCCAGTTCAGCTCCACATTTCGAACACATTCTTCCTCGGCGACGCGTCGATTACGTTGAAATCGATCAACGGCGTGGTGAACGGATTGAACATCGTAGACAACATGTTCAGCGGATCGGACAGAGGAGTTCCGATCGTTAAACTGGACCAATCGAAATCGGCATTCAGGGAAATAAATCAGGTGGTGATCGAGAGGAACAACGCGAGGGGAATGCAGATAAAATCGACAGCGGCAAGCGCAGAATCGCAAGGGAATGGAACGTCATGGATTATAGATTTCAATCCGATTCTGTTGTTTCCAAACCTGATTAGGAACGTGCAGTACTCGTTCCGGAGCAGCGGCGAGGGATTTCCAAAGCACGTGGTGAGAAACGTGTCGGAGAATCGGGTGGTGATCGAGTCGGACGTTGCGGTGGCCGGAAGCGTGTTCGCGACGGTGGATCAAGGGCACAGGTAAGAAACATTTAATTTAATAATAATTTAGGGCTAGGGTTTCGATTGGATTGGATTTGATTTGATTTAATTTGGTTGAAGAAATTGTAAATAAACGTGGAGGGGAGTGTAGATTGTGAAATTCGATACAGAAAAACAGTAGAAATTGAAATGGAAAATTGGAAGGAGGATTTGGAATTCCAAAATAAAGCAATGTTGTTGATCCTCTGCTTTTGCGCTCTTCTTGTGGAACAACGCAAAAGACAAGATTTGCTTTTTCGAGTACTCTTCTCATTCTTTATTTTACAATTCCAAGGGCAGCCTAGCGTCACATATATAAAATATATATATTTAAAGAAAAAAAAAAAACAATGTTGTGGAGTGCATATATAAAAAGATGAATAAAACTCTTGGAAGGACTCATCTCCTACACACCATTATTACGTTATGTTTATGATAAGTAGGGAAAAGAAATGTGAGGAGAGAGAAGTGTTAGTTAGCACAAAATTTCTAGTTAATAACTAAATAACTAAGTATTTATCCTAAAAGATTTAGATTTTTTTTTATAACATCCTAAGAGATTTGAAACCTTGCTTCAACAAAAAAAAAAGAAGAAATATATATATATATATAGGTCAAACAAATGTGGTCCTATCATTTAGGTTGGATTAGTTTCAATTTTATCACATGAGTTCAACGAAGCGTGGGAGTGATGATTCAAATTATCGGCTTTTGATCGAGAATAGGTGCCTTGATGAAGGTTTACTTTTGAGTATAAAGTCTTCCAAAAATGAAAACCTGAAGGGATTCACCCAACTACAATGAATGATAGATAATTGAACGTGTGGAAGATTAATGCAATGGCCAATCTGAGCCTAGTTTAAGGTTTAAATATTTTACTCATTTTTTAGAAGTTTGAAGTTAGATCTTTCCTCCCCACATTTTGTTGTACTACAGATAGTTTAGTGGGATTGAGAGATTATTTGTCAATAACACATCTCTGTGCATAATTCAAGTGGATGAATCTATTATCACCTCATCTCTGTGGATGGTTCTAACATCTCACTCCTTCAATTCTTGAACTCAAAAAAGAATTGATGAAACAGTTGAAAATGATGGAATCCAATAACAGTGAATTAAGTAAATAATTCACGTAGACATGTATGCTTTTGAAACTTTTAAGAGTAATGCAAGAACAAGATTCAAACTTATGACAGAGAGAAAAAAAAATGTCAATTTTGAAAGTTAGGAGAGAAAAATCATTAGGCAGTAAAAAGTAGCTAAATCCTCGTTAGACTTTGGAGTTTCATGGGATTTTTAATAAAATATTTAGATTTGTACTTGCTTCTGCTTAGGACTTAGGTTAGGTAAGAGACAAAGTGACCGCCACCTGATCGAATAATTATGCTCATCTCATTTCCATTTGGATTTGGATTTGGATTTGACGTTACCAAAAGTATGCATAATTTCAAACTATTCAACTCCTTTTTAGTGCCGTAGCAACTCTGCTAACTCATTTTCTTTCTCCTGCTCTTTGATTTGAACTAACCCTTGGAAACATCATTACCAATACACGTATTTATTGGTTAGTTTTTCAACAATTTTCATACTCCTCTGCTAGACTAATCCAATTTTCAACTAAAGCTTGGAAACATCCGTCCAAATCTGTGATTCCTCATTCTATGCTTTTCTATATCCTCCAAATCATTCATACAATCAGTGAAAGGAGGATCATTGTACATAGATTAGACTAATCAATGAAATCCCATCATTATTGAAACATAAAGGCATATACTTATCCTTCTTTATCTTCAAAATCACAAATTATTGGCCACTCAAGATCAAGCACCATACACCACACAGTTTCACTTTTACACTCTTTAAATGATTATGATCTTTTAACTTTAATTTCAACTTGACACTCGGTGAGCAAAATGACCAAAGAATGCTTTTAATCTTTTCTGAACATCTTACCTCTTTCCCAACATTGTCTTTCTTGATCCTTTTGAATGAATGATTGGACTATGTAAGCAAGTAGAGCCACATCTTTTGGAGATTGTGCTTGTGCCTATTCATGCCTTTACCCTCACCAATGAGACCAAATTTGATACACAGCACTGCACTGGGGAGGCAGTTCAGAAATCATTCTTTATCAAAGTTATTGTCTCTAAAAAATCTCCTTTGTGTGGATACTTTTCTTGGTTTGTCCTCTTCCTAAAATCTGCCTGCACTTTTTTTAGTAGAACAGAAGCACCATTAGTGATGAGTATCATCATAACAATGAGTAATCTGAATGCAATCAGGTCAACAGATGAGTTATGTATTTAGTTGAAGATCAATCCTTGAAACCTGCTTTTGAAATGTCCAACTCTTTATCAGGTTCTCTGTTGTCTTTTGTGAAGAGAAATAGATTGTTTTTCTTTGGTGCTAAGGATGAAAGAAAGTGAGGGGACAGTGAGACTTCCCTTTTCTGTTTGTAGCGCACAAACAAAAGAAAAAAGAGGTTTGTGGATATTCAAATAAGCATATCCAATGCCACTACTTCCCATCACATTGTCACCCTCCATGTTGAATTGATCCCACCAGGCTTTCTGTCCACAAATATGTTTTATCACATGCCCCAACCTGTTTCCATATGTCGTTTGCTGCTTCCCTCTCGGCCATTTCAGCTTGCGAATCTGCTTGGTTCTTCGTACATGGAGCTTGCATCCTCTCCTTCCATTAATCCCTCGCCGAGCATTCCTTTCCCAGCTCCTCACGAGCGAGAACACGGCGACAACTTCAGCCTCATTGTCATCGTGGCTGCCATTACTTGCGCAGTTGTTTGCACAGTCGGTCTGAATACCATGCTGACATGTATACTTCAATGCGCCATTCACACCCTCAGACAGACAGTCCAATGGGTGGCTTTAAGGGGACTGAACTCAGGCATGAAGAAGCAAGACATGGTTGCCCTGCCAACTTCAACTTACAGGAATTCAAGCTCACCAACTTCGGTCTGTGCTATCTGTCTTGTCGATTTCTTGAACGGGGATGAAATACGAGTGTTGCCAAACTGTACTCACAGGTACCATGTCACATGCATAGATAAATGGCTGCTGTGTCACTCTTCTTGCCCCACTTGCAGGCATCAGCTCAAGTCCAAGGATTCTATTTCCTCTGTGGATCACGCAGTGTAATGTCGAGAAGTAGCCACTTAGTGAATCAGGTAAGCAATAAAGATGATCCCTCGGATAGACTTATAAAGAAGTTGTTACCAATTCCCAAGAGTTGAGATTGATGATAAAAGTAGTTGAAGTCAGTTTGCTTGTTTTGAGCCATTTCATGCTAACTTGGAATCAAACTAGATTTTGTTGTTTTCTTTTTCTTCTGTTATCTTGTGATGAGGAAATAGCCGACTGCAGAGACGTACGGATTGATCAAGCTTCAAAAGTTGATAAAAGTTACTCTATAATTCTATTCTTTTTTGTTTTTTTGGTTTGTTTAGAAGATGGAGCAAAGCACTCTGTGTGGTGGGACTGAGCCCTGTCTAGAAGTGCATGATGGATGTTGGAAAAAAGTATATTTCTTATATCTAAATCAAATCATGGTTAAAAGTGATACGTTATAATCTAATTAAACTACCGTTAAAGTCTTATTTATTAATTCAAACAATTTTCATATATTTTTACAACTTCCATGATTTTTTCACATCAATCTTTTCATAAAGTTGAAATATTTCCATCCATATCGACATTTCGAAGCTAACATAACATAACGTGAATATTACACTCTCAAGCGCATCAATCCAAGGAGTGACCGACCCTACCCTAATGATAAGAACTTGGAGATGCCTTGGGTTCAAGACTGTAAACAGAAAATTTAACAATTTAAAATCTTTGTTGTCTTCTAAAGCTAGTTCCTGAGGTGGGTGAAGTCGGGGTGGGTCATGAGCATAAGGGTAGCCTTAAATACCTTCATTAAATTAAGAAATGAAATCTCACCTGTAAATGATCGAGTCAAAAGTTGAGTGCAAGATAAGGAATTAAGAACTGATTGAGAAACGTGATACTTCTTTAATTTGAAAACTGATTATTTGATCATGAAAATAAAAAAGCTGCACTTGTAAAGCTCTTGCCACCATAATCTAAATTGCTACAATACAAAGAGCAATAAGCACGAGGAGATGCATTAAGTCTCTTAAACAGTTGCGTACAAATTGCGGGAGAAGAGCTGCAGAATGGCATCAGAATTTAAAGCTTGAAACTATATGTATAAATGTAATGAATCCATCACTCACATCAAACAATCCTTCAAGCACAAATTCTTTGGAATCGATCTCATCGGGCAGAACTGTCATTAACTGTTAAGTCATCTATTCTATATTGTGTGTATCTCAGTAAGAACAATATCAATACCAGCAATCTGCCACCTCTTCTAGCTCCAGTTTCGGCCGCTCTTTCGGGGGTCCAGAGGTTCTTGGATATCCTCCAAAAGAATCACTCCCAGGTCTTGCAACTTCCACATAGATCGTCCTTCCATCAAATTTCTGGTTTTGACAGACGCAGAAAGTACATTAATTTTCAAGCATAAGTTATCTAATCTTGTAAAGATGGAACTAGGCGGAGCATAACCTTGCCATCCATATTTTCCAGTGCCAGCATTGCATCGTCTTGGCAAGTGTATTGAATAAACGCGTAACCTCTCGGTCTTTTTGTTACTCTATCTTTTGCTAATAACACTGCCACAGGTTGATAAGTGAATTGGCCGGAGATTAGACATCATATAATGGTTTCATCGCCTAAGCAGGAAAGCAATGCAATTACCTTCAGCAACCTCACCAAAACTTGAAAATTCTTCTTGCAGCCGACCCTCATCGGTAGAGTATGGTAAATCTGCATATTGTGTACACCTTTTTTGTTTAGTTAAAAAAAGAATCTCAATGGAAGCAGGATTTGAATATTCACAGGTGCTCCAGAAAACGAATCCCATGGATCTGATATTACAAATTACAATAACCTCCTATACAAGACTTCTTTTACAACCTAGACATCAAAAGATTCCAAAGACTCCACAAAATATTATGAAAAAGAGGAAAACAAGAAAATTCAATGGTTCATAAAAAATTGTTTTCAGAAGGCAGATGTATTAGAATTGAACAATAGATGAGACAGCAATGCTGCTTTCTTCTCTCTTTCACTTTTCCTGAAAGATTAGTTTCAATTAGAAAGGTGAAGGACGTCACCAAAATATGGATAAGTATACTCAAAATGTGATGATGGCTGTATAAATAATAACGTTATAGTGGGTGAAAGCCACCCATATTGCAAGACGACACATACAAGCCAAAATAGAGCAAAGGAAGTTTACTGGAAAGTACCCGAGAAGGCTAATGAGAAGAACTGGATAACTTTTAGAGATATACACAGAAAGCCAGAGCCCATCTTTAACTGTTTTTTTTTTATCACTTCAAATAAATAATTGACCCTTTCTGGCCAGGTTCTTAAATGTAAAAGAAGGAATACAGTGAAAAAGAATTGGAGATCTGTGTCAAGTCCACATAATTCTCAATACATTAGTTCCAGAATTCCATCAATGCTTTATTATCCACTCACATCACTTCCATTAAACATCATTATCCATTAAACATCATTATTTGTGTGCAAGTGGGACATTTGATGTAAAGGCTCGTTTGGTAACGTTCTTGTTAATTCTTTTTCGTTTCCAATTTTTGAGAAACATAACGTTAGGTAGCTGTTCTTGTCCTCGTTTTTTCATTTTAAAGAAAGTTTGGAAAAAACAAGACCAAGTTTTTTTGTTGTTGTTTACAGCTTTTTTCTAAAACATAGATACAAGCATTATTTTATTGCACTCAACTTTAGAATCGTATTTTCAGAAATCGTAGTTGACCAGTTTGATAAGCAACCTACACAAAAACAATTATTCCTTAAGCTCATCAATTTATCTAACTACACGTTCTGTAGGCCCAATAGACTTTGCAAAAAAATCTCAAGGAATTATAACTTCTATCAGCAGTACAACAAAGTTTGTATCTCTGCTCACCTTCACACAGAGACATGAAAATAAGAAAAGTTTCAATCCAAATCAATTCACCTAAAAGATTTTTTTGAATATACATTACACAGCTTTGGAGTACTTTACACCAGAATTTTTTTTAATTGCACCATCTTTTTACACTGCTCATTTTTGAACAAGTACACGGTCAAAGTCCTAGCCTTCTTCCAGTGTTTGGAAGTTTACAGTTTCATATTCTATTTCACTCCTAGATGGGAGTACTTTCTAGCAATTTTCCCTTTCTTCGGCAGGGGATGATTTGTCTCCCCAGTCTCCTTTGTGTAGGTTCAATTTCTTTCTTAGGACTCCTTAGACATTCCTTAAGTAACTTTGGAGATTTTGAATTCTTTGCCTTTGAAGGTCTAATTCTCTCACTCGTTTATAAAAAACCACCCCGAACTTTCCTAGTGCCTTCTCTGCTCAAAACAACTCAATTTCTTTTCAGTTTTGACCCTTCAAACTAACTGCATAAATTTAATCATTGATAATAGCGGAAAGGAGACTTGAAAAAGAAAACAAAGGTACAAAATAGCATCAACAGAAATAGGGCAAGACCAAGGAGAAACAGAAAAGGCAACTAAAATCGCGAAAGAAAAGGAAGTAAACAAGAACAAGCACAGAAAAGGCAATCAAAGCGGAAAAATTCACATTCCAAGGAAGTACTCCAACAACATCAGTACGAAACGAAGGCAACAAACTGGGGGGGAAACTTCAGAAATACAAAATCAAGGAAATCAAGTAAAACGTATCATAAAATGCATAGAAAGAGGAAAGAAAGAGAAACGTGAATTACTTCTAACCATGACTCTGCTGGCAAGGGGATAATCAAAGAAAGAAGCTCGAAGATTGAGAGATTGACGGGCTGTACCATGGGTTGGATTACTGAGAAGAATTGGAAAACGAGGGTTTAAAAGACAAGGGAAGGAGACGGTGGAAGCCCACATGTTCGTGCTCAGACGACGCCGTGGGAAATCTGTTCGTTCCTTCCGAATTCGGTTTTACATTTCCATAGCCCGAAATTATTTTTATTTCAATTTTTTATTATAATTTTTACGTGCTTATTAAATTTCAATCATAAATTTGTATTAAAAATTTTAATTTTTGTGTGAAAATTTTATAAATAAAAATGGAAAATTATCACTAAAATTAATAAAAAATGACTAAAATAGATATTTTTAGTTTTGGTAGTATAGGTACATATGGAGCCAAAAATAGAGATAATGTTTGATTAATTTTAGGTATTCAAAGCGGTGACTGAGGGCGGGCGTAGATGAATACTATTGACAGACGAAATGGAAAATGTATAATGGCCCTTCCTCTTAATCTTAATCTTATAAATTTGTCTCTTCATTTGCTCACTTAATTCAAGTCAACACTTGGACCACAACGCCATCGTTTAATGATGCTGCAGCAGCAACAACAACAACCACCACCAAGGTTAAATTACTTTTTTTTTTTCTTGAAAAGATAAATAACCATCAACGGTGATCACTGACTTTGACTAGTAGTAGAGTTTCGTCCTTGACTTTGACCATCTGTAGCAGTGTTCATATTGGTAACATATCTGAAAACTGTTCTTAAAACTAACTTCAGTTTCCATTTGAGAATTAAGAAGAAGAAGAAGCTATTGCTTTAATTAACATTGACGTATAGCAGGATATATTGAAAGAAAAAAAAAAAAGTGGATTAAATAAAATAAATTTGGACACCTACTAATTAACTTAATGAGCCCTCTTTCTTGTTCACATTACATTGCATTGATTGAATCAGGGGAAGTAGCCACCGCCGTAATTCCCATTCCCATTGGAAGAGGAAAATTCCATGGCCAATTCCTGCAGATCGTAATTCAAATCATCGTCCTCGTCCATCAGATTCTGAATTTCGACGAGTTCCGACGCCGGCCGAGAAAGCCCATCGCCGCTGCCGCTCCTGTTTTCCGGCGGGTAGGCGAATTGGTGCTCCACCGGCGGCTGGCGGTAGTGAAAATGGCGGGCGTCGGAGAAAGGGAGCATAACAGAGCCAGAGGGGTGGTTGAGGGTGTGCAGCGGCTCATCTCCGGGGTGGCCGAAGCTGAGGTTGACGGGGCCCTTGTGGGCGCCCAAGGGCACGGTGGCGCCGGCGGCCTGGAAGCCGGTGAACTGCTGCACCAAGTCCCGGAAATTGGCGGTGCTGGCGTTCAGGAGCGTGGTGGGCGCCTTCCGAGAAGCTCGGGAGCGCCGTCTGGTGGGCTTGGAATTAGCATTGGTGGAACCGCCGTGTGGGAGGGCCGTGGAATCGGCGCCGCCGTGGTAGAATTGGGGCCACTGATCGCTGGTGACAGACATGTATAGATCAAACCCAGATGGGGAAGGAGAATTTAAGTGATTGGGGTTAATAATGGAGGGGAAACTGATGGATATATTTATATATAAATGGAGTATGGAGAGAATTTTGATAATTTTGAGAGGAAGAAAACAGGGGATTTGGTTGCACACAGCGTGAGGAGGAAGAAAGCGATGCTTCCAGGAAGCTACCTGAGTTGAGACATCAATAGGGACATAAAAAGGTAAATTAATGGAGATAGTGATGTCACCAACTCGGATGTGTAACCAAATTTTGCTTTAAATCCCATTCTTTTCTCCGTCTCGATTGTTATTTTATTTCGGTTCCTCAACTTTAAAATCATATTTTGGTTTAGATGTACTAAGAAGGTATCTTGTTTTGCTGTTAAATTTTTTAAACTAGTCCGCATCTATCTTTGATTTATTAAAAGTAAAAAAATTATAACTATATTTTTTATATATAGGCTAGAACATTCAATGAACTAGGGTAGGGTGACCCCATTTCATGTTACTAATTTCAAGAAAACTTTAACGAAGTACTAAGATCAAAAGTCGAGGGAAAACTTAGATTGTGGGTTAGATCCCCAAGCAATCACTTAGGGAAAAAGTAATAGACGTTCGAATTTTTAACTGGTCGATATTATCTCTTTTAAAAATGTCTACTTTAGTTAATATACTTTTAATTTTAATTTTATTACGAATCCTAAACTCTCGAAATATCTATTTCTAATCCTTTAAGTCGTAAAAGATAATTATTTTAGCGCTTTTAACTTTATTCTACTTTAACAAATTCATRAATGTGACTTAAAAGAATTTTTTTTAAGCTTCAATGTTAAAATAATCGTTTTAAAAGTTGATTAAAAAAAACCAATTTAAAAAGTTGAATGAGGTTAAATTGGCTTGTCTGTCTGAGAATGCTGCCTTTGTCTCTATTTTTCTTTGGTCAAAAGTTGTTTTTAAATATATAAAGACAAAATGGGATGTGAGYAAGGAACTAAGGATGGTGTGTGCAACTCTAGCTTTGTTTCCTTTATAGAATTTCAATTTCTTACCACCCACCAACCCTCTAATCTAACTCTTGTATTTTTATTCTTTTTCATATATGTTGCTGTCATATGCATTTTTTTTTTAATCTTTGTTACATTAGAACACAAATTTTATCTATTTTTATGGTGTATTCTTTCTTTTTACTGGTGGACGATCCTGCAACAAACACATCTCTCTATATGCAACAGCTAAATTAGTTATTGAGAGAAGCAAACGAGATATCTGAATTGAGGAATGTCCGATGATGAAGCTTCAAATGTTATGTAAGGAATAAGCTCAATTTATATGGAGCGTTGGTTTTTAATTTGAGAGCTAAAGTTTTGTTTGTTTCGTTTTTGTAATCTTCATTAAAAATGAAGAATAGTCATGAATTATAATTATGTACACATACTATATTTCTTAAAATCATTTTAACATTGGAAACTTACCTTAATAATTACAGTTTAGAGTTTATTGATTCCATTACTTGAAATTAAAGTAAATATTTATGTTATAAAATTAAAACAAATTCCATCAAATTGAAGATATTTTTTAAATCTTAATCAAAATTAAAAAATTAAAAAATAGTTTTAAGAAAATTGCATGTGTTTTATTTTTTAAATTGACGAAGATTTCAAAAATAACTTTTAAAACAAAACATAAAATGACTGTTAAATGAAGTCTTGGAATATGAAAACATATATGGTAAAATATATTCTGAACGTAAAAGTTTTGTTAGTGATAGAAATTATCATTATATATAATAGAGAATGACATATGTATTGGCTTCGATCAAATATGTCTCTTAAATAAATGGTTAATATTTTATGAATATACTCCTAGAAAAAAAATGTTTAATATTTCAAAGAAAAAAAAACTGACATATATTTTTTGATATATTTGAGAATAAGAATCTACGATACTTAGAATTTATAAAATATATATATATATATATATTGTGAAGATAAAATAAATAACTGAATAATAAAAAAATAACTTTTGTCCCCAAGTATATATACAACTAACATGTAATTTCCTACGGCATTGCTTATAGGTTGGTTTGAACTAGAAAAGGGAAATATATATCAAACATGAGCATGAGTCTCAATGGTAATTGACATATATATCCAACCAAAAGATTGTGAGTTTGATCTCCCATCAATCTCCTTGAGATTGAAAGTTGAATCTACCCCCAACATTTTTTGTACTTCTAACATGCATGCACATACCACACACACATATATATAATAGTAATTTAATATCATATTTTCCTAATTTTAAGAGAATTTAAATGATCAACTCTTTTTTTATTTGAAAAAATTTAAACGATCAACTTGAAGCATGCAACATTAAAATCAAAACTAATGCAACTTACAGAAAATAATTTGGATTAGGTTTTGTTTAACTATTTAAAATACATTTAATTGGAATATTAGTCACCATTACGTGTAACACTTCTAGCTTTGTATGTACGCGCACGTGCGTGGAAACTAAGAATTTGATTTCATTTAAAACTTGTGCCACTTATGTAAAAAAAAAAAAAAAAATTTGTTCCACCTGTGAATTAAATAAATGTAACGTTTTTTATTTAATTAATTTTTTTAAGGACTAGACGTTGAAAACATAAGTGACCTAACAAATGTTTGATATACTTATTAATGCTCTCGTGAATATTTACAAATTTCATCCTCGAAACAAACTCTAACAAAGGTTTAAAACAAAAACAAAAAGAGGATCAAATAAAGGGGAGAGAGTCTTTAAGATTCAAATAGTCTCTCTTTTAATACAGTTTTCCATATTTAAAAATTAAACTTTAAATTAATTTTCTTGCTTTTCATTTATTTGAACTTGAATTTAAATTCTTAGTCAGTCCATGAAAAAATGAGCTTGTTTTCTTTAAAAAAAATTAAAAATAGAATGGTTATTAAGTAGGTGTTTAATTAATATATGATATTTTAATTGGTCAATGAGTTATTAAGAATAAGGATAAATTCAATGCCTTGATATTGTAAGAGATTAGATTTTGCATCAAAGTTCATTAAAGTAATTGCACGTGATTTTGACCTTTAACTAATCCTCATTTTCCAAAATATTTAATTATTCAATATTCCATATAGACCCCTACTCTTCTTTTAATTTACATTTCTATCTCTCAAGTCACAAGTATTAACTAATGTAGTAGAGTGAGGAATGGGGCAACTCATCAACTTCTTTCGCACGTGTCAATCATTCTAAATTAAAATATATAATTTTAAATACTATATATTTTGGTTTATTTTGATTTATGTCAACCTTGATTTTAGCCTAATTTTACTTATAAAATGTATATTTTAGTTGATGTATTTTTAAAAAGTTGCTCATTTAGTTCCTATTTGCAACATTTTAAAACAAAATTTATACACAATGGAAAGTTTTTAATATAGTAGCATTTCAAGAAATTTAGTAAGTGAAATGTCATGTTAAAATTATGATGATGAAAATAAATTAGATAAAATATAAAATTAATGAACAAAAATGGTCACAAAGACTAAAATTGATGTTTTGAAAGGACGAGAATTAAAATTACAAAATAAAAATAAAAATACATGGTCTAAATTAGACCATAGACAAAAAATAAACTAAGTCAAAACTAAAAAGTCAATTTTAGACCTTATATATAGTTCAATGGTTAAAACACCTTACTTTTTCCTTTTTCCTTTGAGGTCAGAGAGTTTGATCTCCCATTTATATATTTGTTGTATTAAAAAAAATTAAACATCTCAAATGTTTTAGAAATATAGACAAAATGAACTAGGTTAAAACTACACCATCTACTCTATATATATATATATATATATATATATATATATATATATATATATATATATATATTTCAAACTTCTAGAAGGGATTGGTCAAGGACTCAAAGGTACATCTTTGATATTTGAAAAGGGTGTGTTACGTCTAAATTACGTTTTATAATCCGGAAAAAATGTTAATGGTAAGGGTTTATATAAATAATTATTAATTTATTTGTTTTACTTAAAATTGTTATTAATTAACAAAAATAGTTTCCCCTTTTCTTTTGACAGGATAAAAAAAAACAATTTTCAAAACTATGTCAAAAAGGACTAAAATTTTTAAAGTATTTTCAGAAAAAGCAAGAAATTACTAGTAACAGATTAATGTTATTATCTCAAGATAATTAAAGCTTTAAAAAATTTTAAAATAATACGTTCGGATATTTTTAAACACTCAAAAATGTTTTATCCATTTATTGTTATTTTTTCCTTTTCCCAAAACGTGTTGTTGGTTTTTAATTTATAGGTGCAGAGTCATTTTCTCTTGAAAAAAAAAGTTCATTTGTACCATTCCTTTTTGTTTTATTTTTTTAAAGTACAATTTTATTCTTAAAATATTACCAATTCATCATTTTCCTTGAAAAAAAAAGTTACTGAATAAAGTCGTCTCTTCATAATTGTCGGATATCGACTAAAAACAGAGATATTTTTTCATTATTTATCTTTTTTTTTTTAGTATTTTTTTCATTTTTATTTTGCTATATCAAATTAGGGATGATTGTAAATTACATCTTTATGGTCTGCGTATTTTGCAAATCAGATCCTTGCGTGTTAAAATAGTTTCAAACCATATCTTTATAATTTGTGAGTTTGCAATTCATGCCCTTCTATCAATATAATTTTTTTTTTTTAAAATAGCATATATGATACACATTGAATAAGTCTTTATGCTTTATTCTAGGAAAAATGTTCACTTTGGGTTTTGAATTCTAGAGCTTGACATTTCTATTTATAGAATTTTGAAAAATCTTCATTTTAGTTAATTTTGAAGCTGAGGTTACATTAATTTATTAATGTTTATTTTCCTTATATGATAAGAAAATCAATCAATTACAACCATTTTCTAAGTAAAATATTAGGATCAAAATGTTAAGAAAAATTAGAGTTTATTTCTTTGAAAACGAGCTTATTCATTCATTAAAGTTTTGCCGTGCAATAAATTTTCGAAAACACCTCCATTATTCTAGCCAAATTTTAAATTTCTTAAACCTTGATTTTTTTAATAGACACGATCTGGAATTTTACAAGATAGATGAATTTGTAACTTACGACTGATGTTCGTTGAAGGTTCGAATTCACGCCTTAAAAGAAAGAAAGAAAGTAATAAAGGAAAAGAAAAAAACTAATGTTTTAGGTTTCTTCCTGTTGAAGACCTGAGCTGATATGGATAAAAATGTGAAAGAAGATTCAAAGTCAATGAATGACTTGGGACATTGCTGATGTGTGCAGCCATGTAAGCTTCAAAACATGTAATAAAAACAATAGCATTAAAAAAAACATTTAAATAATTTTCAAAACATTGATTAAGATGTTGAGCTTCAACAGGAACCATTCCCCTTTCTCTCTCTAGCTATCCCATTCAATCACACTCACTTTAAAGTTTGAATTCTTCTTTTCCAAGTTTTTGACTTGGTCCTTATTCATTATGTAATTTAAAAAAAAAAGAGTAAAAATATTTTATTAAAAAACAGTACGGGAGAAAATTATTTGGGTTATCAAGAGCTGAATTTTAAAAAACATCTTAAAGAAATAGTAATACACGTTTCAAAAGTTGCTTTCTTTTAACTTGCTCTCCCAAAATTAGAAATTGCTCAAAAAGTCATGAACTTACATTTATTTCAAATGTAAAGTAAACTAAATCTTTACTAACCATGTGAATTGTGATCAACAATCCAGACAAATGGTCAAACAACCCTGTAATTTTTGGTCATTCCTAAAATGCTGTGTGTAAGATTGAACGTTCAAAGTGTCCCAACAACAACACAAAAGTCAAGAAAAATCAATAAATTCACAGAAAGATCATACAATTGAGCTGTGCCTGAGTAGGATGAATCCCAACAACTTTGGACCACTTTACTTTAGAAAGAAGACAATTGAAAAGACAAAAACAAACTATCATACAATACAAGTACCATTTACAAGGATTGGGATGCTAATTTCAACACAAAAATTGGTAGACACTGGCTTCTTTCGTTTTTTCCCTTTTTTCTTTATCACATCCTATAAAGCTAAAGCTTTCTTTTCTTCATAAAACTCATAGTTTTCCCTACTCTACAGTTATTTCGAGTATCGTGGTAAGTCTCGGTCTTTTGTATCGTCTAAGAAGTAAAGAAGAGCAAACAACACTTACAGATGATAGAGCCATGCATGCACCGGCTGCCCATGGCGGCAATTTAACTCCCAAAGAAGGAAAGAAGGCTCCGGCAGCAACAGGAATTGCTATCACATTGTAGGCCATGGCAAACACATAATTGAGTCGTATCCGATTGAAGGTTTTCCTTGAGAGATCAATGGCTGTAATTACATCTTCTAAATTATTTCTCATCAAGACGAAGTTGGCTGCCTCTATAGCAATATCAGTCCCCGCCCCAATTGCTATGCCGATATCAGAAGCGGCTAGAGCAGGCGAGTCGTTGATGCCATCACCTACCATTGCAACTGTGCTTCCATCTTTTTGGAACGACTGAATGACTTCAGCTTTTCCTGCTGGCATTACTTCTGCTCTCACATCTTGTATACCAAGCTGCATAACAAAACATAAATTTTTACCCCGAGATGAAATTTTTTGTATTTGAACATTCGTCTCATTCAGGGAATCAAATTTGATCCATGAGAAACCAACCATCAGGAAATGAAAATGAAAACATCCTAAAGGGAGCCCTTAAGAAATCTTGCTTAAATTTGGATTAACAAAAAAAATTGTGGAGAGAAAATTTTATGCCAACCTCTTTGGCGACAGCACGAGCCGTTCTCCAATTATCCCCTGTAACCATGACAGGGGAAACTCCCATTTTTACAAGACCCTCAACAACAACAGCAGCTTCTCTCTTCAGTGGATCTGCTATTCCCAAAACTCCAATTAAGTTGTCGTCATATGAAACAAGAATACCAGTCTTTGCACTTTCTTCGAGCTCTATAACAAAATTTTCTATATGAGGTGCTATGGAGATTCCGCTTTCATTCATCAACTTCCTGTTGCCAGCCTGTTCAAGGGATCACGTTTTTGAGAAGCAGAACCAGAGAGTATTAACACCTTCACAGTGTATCGCAGGATATAAGAAAATGATCATTTATATTTCCTGACAAGTAAAAAAAACTCTTACCAGAATCTTTTTTCCCTCTATAAAGCACTGGATTCCCTTGCCTGGCAATGCAGAGAAATCTATGACGTCGAAAAGCCATCCAGAAGACTCTTTACTTTGGTTTTCCACATTTTTGGTTGCAGAAGGCTCATTGAAGAAATGGAAATGACGAGCATACTCAACTATAGCTTTTCCCAATGGGTGTTCACTGCTAGCCTATCCAGAAGAAAGAGCAATAGGAATTATGGTTGAGTTGGTTTCCAGAATTGTATCAGAATTATTCATCACATCACCCAGTTCTCAGCAGATACCAAAAGATTTAAATTGTGTCCTTTTTGTATACTTCATAGCGTTTAATAAAGAAAAAAGTGACCAAAAGTCTTTTGCTCAAAGATGAGTTAAAAGTTGGCAAAGATTGCAAATCACCTCTGCTGAAGCCACCAGCTTCAGAAAATCTCCTCGAGAAATGTCAGTGAAGACTTTGGCAGTGGTAACGGTTGCTTTCCCTTGGGTTAGCGTGCCTGTTTTGTCGAATATCACATACTTAACCTTTTGGGCCCTCTCCAAAGCATCTCCTCCTTTGATTAAGACACCATTGCTGGCACCAACCCCAGTTGCAACCATGACAGCGGTTGGTGTGGCTAAGCCGAGTGCACAAGGACACGCAATCACCACCACTGATATTGCAAACATGAGGGAAAACACAAAGCAATTTCCATTTTCTGGGAGCCATTCTGATGGATAAGCTCCAAGAATTCCACCAACGTACCTACAGATGCCAACAGGAGCTTCAAATCACACTGCAAATTGATCGACTCGGCTATTAATTAAAATGCTTTTAAATGATACTTACCAACCAAATAATGTACATAATGCCATAGCAACAACAGTAGGAACGAATATGCTTGCTACCTGCAAACCAAACAGATGCCGATAATGCAAATAATACCAGAATCTACAGATTTCATAATTTACTGACAGCCCATGTCTAAGATCACATATTCAAATAGAGTGCAGCACAGAATAGGAAAGAGAGAACCAAGATGCTCGTAGACTCCGTCACTATGACGTGCCCAAACAATTATATCTATGCATGTATGACCAACAAAACAGTTTTAAAACTTTTCTTTTATATTCTTTTACATAAAAAGGCCGAGCTTTCATACCAAAGGGCACACAAAAAAACAGACAAACAAAGAGAATTTTTCTTCTACATTTTTTTCTGTCTACATTTGTTTCCCTTTCTTCTTTGTAATAAGAGCATAAGTTTATGCAAATATCTGTCAATATTAGAGTTCAAACCCTTAGGTACATGGAAGAAAATATTTGGTCCATGGAAAGGACAGGAGGGGAAAACCCAAATACAATGTCCCATTCTATAAAACTGCTTGGTACCATTCTGCCTAAAAGACTAAATCTAAGGTACCATACTGCCTGCAGTATATATAAATTCTTTTTTTTTTTTTTTGGATAAGAAACAGAGAGAAAATGTATTAATCACAAAAAGAACAACCTAAGGTCAAGGGGTAGAGAAAACCCCTCCCCAAAAGGAGCTATGACATGAAAGCCTTCCAATTTTGAAGGATAGAAGAAAGGGAGTAGTTACAAAAAAATTTGCTGAAACCATAGCAACACCTGGAAGTGGTGAGTTGTACATTACTCCCCAAAAGGAGCTATGACATGAAAGCCTTCCAATTTTGAAGGATAGAACAAAGGCAGTATGCAAATATCTGTCTACACGAGCTTAGCTATGCCACTGCTGAACTACGGTATTCTTATCCAGCTCATATCTTACTAATTTGCTTCTATATGCAACGGGAGATTAAAATTTAAAGAAGAATATGATTTGTTCAATAACCAAAGGCCTGACAACGAGATTAAATTTGGACACTCGTCTAACAAAAGTAATGTAGATTAGATGGATACTTACAAAATCAGCAAATTTCTGAATAGGGGCTTTAGACATTTGTGCTGTCTCAACCAAACTAATGATCTGGTTCAAAACTGCATCAGATCCCACTTTTGTTGCTTGAATGTGAAGGGCACCATGAAAATTAATAGTACCGCCAATAACATTCGAGTTAACCTCCTTCAAAACAGGTATAGATTCTCCAGTAACCATACTCTCATTAACATAACTTGATCCCCAAACAACAACACCATCAGCTGGAATCTTTGTACCAGGAAGAACTTTCAACACATCACCAGGTTGAATTAGCAAAGCATCAATTTCCCTTTCTTCTATCAAATTCCCACCTAGAAACAAAAAAATAGAACCAATCAATTATTTAGAAGATATCCATTAGTGAGAACTCAACTAACAGAATCCAATTGGTTTAAAGTATCCATCACAGATATAAATCCTCCACCTCATTTCTACCCTTGTTTCGGAGAAAAAAAAAGGATAGTTGATTAAGTTTTCCAGACCAGCTTTTTTTTTACACTCAGAAAATCCCTCTACTTTTATTCATTCTCCAGATTCATCTCTCCTAAGTAACTTGACCCTACAATATTTAGTGAAGAAACACATGACATACTTAATGTCTCAATTAGATGGCTTCAAACGAATGTGATCCATAACTTGTAGATGCTCAACCTGGAACTTTATATTAAGGAACGTTGAAATATATGGAATGTCATTAAAAGCTCGTACTGAAGAAAACTAGAAGACTTTTATTGATACGTTAAAATCAGAGTGGGTACCTTTATCTCGGATAAGCAATAGAGCAGTTGCAGGAGCAAGTTCTACCAACTTTTTGATGGCATCTGATGTTTTCCCCTTGGCAAGACACTCCAAATACTTTCCCAATAATACAAAGGTTATCAGCATAGCACTTGTTTCAAAATAAGTAGGAGACCAGAATCCAGTGACTGCACCATATAGAAGTGCACAGACAGAATAGAAGTAAGAGGCCGAGGTACCCAAAGCAACCAAAACATCCATGTTAGTTGAACCATTTCGAAGAGCTCTAGCAGCTGCAACATAAAAGCGTTTTCCAATGACAAATTGCACAACAGTCACCAATGCCCACTTCAACCAATCATCCATGAGGAAGGGCCCACACCGCCACAGTAACATCGAGTATATTAAAGGAATATGAGGACATACTACTCGTAGGAGAAAGATCAATATCTGGAAGAAACACAGTCGTGAAACAATTAAATTATATCAGATGAGATTAATTTTATTGAAATTCACGACAAAATTAGGACAACAAATTTTCCCTGGAATCAGATCAAAGTTTCTGATAGATACATGTGTACAAAGTGCCTTGTTTCTCAATCTCGTAATAAACTAAACTCTTCTTTTAATTGTAACAATGCGATCAGACATACAAACAAGCAAACTCAAACACTTCATAATCTCCGACTATGGAAAATTTTCAATCACGTGGTGAAGTAGTTATCTAAAGTAATGCCAGCATCAAGAATTGTGAATAAGAGACAAACAAATTTGCATATTTGACTTAAGAAACACGTGTATCTGAGAGGAAAGAAAATTCACGTACACTGAGAAACAGGCTGGAGATAAAAAGTCGAAACATGTTGATAGCTTCTTCAACATCTTTTGAAGTTAACCTCGTGTAAGGGCTCGTAAGATTCAGTTTAAATTTTCTATTGCTTCTTCCCTCGATCTCATCCACTATGGTTCTCGGACCCACGACTTGTGGGTCAAAAACAACATCAAGTTTTCCTGTTGTCCTGTTAAATAGAAACTGTCTCACCCCTTTCAAGTTGCTAAGTATGACTTCCAAAAACTGTACATCGACCTCGCCAGTAATGCCTGCCACCGCTAGTAAAATTTTATCTTGCTCATTGCTTTGTACAAATGAAGCTTCAAATCCAGCATCCTCAATTGCATTAACTATATCGTCTTTACTAGTTATAGTTGGATCATATTCAACTTCTCCCAATGATGTGGCCAAAGCAACTACTGCTCTTCTAACACCAGGAAGATCTTTTAAAATGCCTTCTACCGAATTCACGCAGGCTGCACATGTCATACCTCCTATGGTAAACTGACCCAAAAGTGTCCCATGCGGCTTCTTTCCAACTGAAATGGTTTCAGGTATAATCTCAGCCTCAAATCCAGCATCTTCTATTGCTTCCTTGATGTCCTCATCCTGAATTATTTCAAAAATTAGGAAATCTACATATGCATATATTCTTTTTGGTCCATACGAGGCTAATAAACTCGAAACTAATCATTAATCACAAAAGATAAGAGATTAATGATCCAAACCTAAGACCTAAAATTGGTTTGATAGTGTGAAGCAATTAGTTTTCTCTTATATTATTTTTCTAAAATCCCATTTGTTCCTCTTATCTTTCAACTATTGTTCTCACTTCCTGCAGCGCAAAAAGCCATTAAATGCTCTGCATTTTGCAATACAACCACCTTGTCTAGTCAACTCACCTTCTTCCCTACATCAACAATCTATGGCTCTAAAAAGAGAGAAAATTAAATTAAAATTAAGGCTAGACAAAGACCTTAACCAAGTTGGGGTCAAAAACCACGTCAGCTCTGTTCTGAAGCAATGCAACGGAAGCCATCAAAACCCCATTAACGCCCCTCAGAGCAGCTTCCACGGAGTTGGAACAAGCAGCGCATGTCATCCCAGAAACTCCGACCTGAACCCTCCGCATGCCTTCCCCAATTTGGCCCAAATTCTCGTCCTGCCTGTCGTAGGAATCGAGGAGACGCACGTCCTCGAGATCATCGGAAAGTTCGTCAGCAGCAGGAACATCGAGGGAGCGGCGGTCGGAGGCGGCAACGTGGGTGAGCTGCAGGTCTCTGAGGCCCGGCGCCATTGGAGGTTCCGGTCAAAGACGAAGAGGTTAATCGATGGGAAATCAGAAACAGGAGAGAAAAAGAAGAGAATAAGAGAAACAAATGGAATCGGAGAGATATATATGAGAATTATAGGAGAGGAAAAGAGAGAAGAAAGGGAGACTTTTTTCCGAAGAAGAAGAGAGGTTGAAACACCAATTTTCTAACTAAAGCTGGTGGAGGTGGTGGGACAGCCCAGAGATGGTGGTGGTGCGAGGAAACTTTTAACGTTTCCCATTTTGCCCCTCCAAACCCCACCCAAAAAATAATTAAAAAAATTGTACTTTTGTACTCGTTTTTATTCACTTGTTGTACTCACGGGTTTTTCACTTCTTCTCACCAAAATTGCATTCTCTTTCTTTTCTTTCAATCTAATTCTTCTTTGGGATTAGAGATTCATTACTCAATTCTATATTCTTTTTACTAAAATAAAATCATTTTCGACCAAAAAATTCGAACGTTGGAATCTTCGCTGCACATATTTTTGAGCTAAACGAACAATGACTCGTGTTACAACATACCACGATGTGAAATTTAAAGGCGTCATAATTTGGTTGGATCATAAATATTGGATAAATGGAAGTATCCAAACTTCCAAACTACTAATTAATATATTTAATTTTACGATTTAAATTTACACAATAAATTGTATACATTCCAATTGACAGTGACCTACATTAACTAATTTTAATTGTTCAGCTTTAGCATGCACTATTAATTACTAGCTTTAATAATGATTAAAAATGTATTATTATTATTATAACTAAATTCTTGAACGTCCCCTGTATAAGAACTTTTCTTTTCTTTTTTATTTTTAGTACCACATCTGAGATAAAGATTTGAACTCACAACTTCATGATTTGATGCATATATCTTAACTTTTGAGGATTGACATGACTTTTCTTTTGTTATTAATAGATACAACTAAAATTTTATGGCATATTAAAAATTTTGTAGATGTGATTATGTATTTTGTTTTTTCAAAGTACATATGTGATCAGAGTAAATCATAGCACTTAACATCATATAATTTTGTCATACTTTATAATTATTAACCTTAAACTCAAATAAGTATACTTTTGAATAATTGTTAGGATAATAAAAATTATATATTTATGGAGCATTCAACTCAATTTTCAATGCCCATAGTTTAATGATCTCATTGGACAATTGTCTAACCTCAGGCAATTGGTCACAATATATTTTTGTAAGATTTTAGTATTAATCGACCAATTTAAACCCAATTCAATTGGTTAAGATATACATATATATATATATATATATATATGACTTGAAGGCAGTGACTTCGAATCTCCAATCCTACCTTTTTTTTTAATTTATTGTTGTACTTAGAAGAAGAAAAAACTGTAATAAACTCTGTCCCTAGAAGTCTCTTTACCATAATGTTTTGTTCAAATAAATGACACACGCCTCAAAAGTTCACTGATGAATTCAACCTCTTTTTTTTTTATTTTTAATTTATCGATTTGGTATAGAAATATATATATATATTTTCTTGAAACACATTTTGGTAGAGATCTCACAAAAAGTTACATGGGTTAAGTTAAAGTATGTGACAAATAAAGGCATAGTCTGAATATTCTCGCTGAATGCAATAAGGAAGTTTAATGATAAAAATAAAGATAAACTTCTTTTCAGAAGAACAGTCGAGATAAATTTATATCTGTAACTGTTTTCGGGGGAAAAAAATGAAGACAAGAAGTAATTGAAAAGGTGACCGAATTTCCACTCATGAGAGTTGAGATGCTAATGG